AGAGAGTGTTACGGCTAACCTTCAGATTTTTGTTTACTGACATACATGATGACGTAAATCTTACAACGTAGAAAGAAGAAACGAGAAATTACAATAGAGTATATGATAAATTACAAAATACGATAGAAAACGAAAGCGATTACAAAAYGATTACAAAGTTCTTACCATAGTGATGGTCTGAAGGATCAGCGATGACGATAAACGCGGTAATAACGAAATTTACATAAGTAGAAATATATAACCGAATAAAAAACAATAGACTACGCACGAATGACTTGTGAACAATTAAACGTCTAAAAACAACAAACGATAAGTAACGAAGGTGTTGGAGCTACATGGCTCTCCTAAATTTATCTAAAGAAATTTATCAATTAAAATTAATGTCAATTAAATATGGCTCTCCKTGGCTCTCCATACTTTCACTATGTATGTGACTGTTCTTCGGTCTTTAAAAGAAGTACGAGCTTGTGTACTGGTCGTTCTAGGACTGACTGATCTCCGGTGACAATTTTAACCCTTCTCACAAGACCGTCTTCATCGGTAATCACGTTACAGACCCTGACCATCTTCCATAGGTTTCGTGGGGCATCGTCAGCCTTGAGTATAGCTATATCACCGACCTTCAGGTTTCGTCTAGGGATGTTCCATTTTGTGCGTTCTTGTAGGGTCTGCATGTACTCTTTTTTCCACCGACGCCAGAACTCGTTAGCTAAAAACTRCACGCGTCTCCATCTCTTAGTAGCATAGAGATCTGACCGTTGAAACTCGCCTGGAGGTGGTAGAAGTACTTCCGTCTTCAGAGTCAGTAGATGATTTGGCGTAAGAGGTAAGCAATCTGGAGTGTTTAGGTTCTGTACAGTTAACGGGCGACTATTAACGATGGCTTCGGCTTCACAAAGTAGGGTGCGCAACGCTTCGTCATTCAGCTGGTGACCAGACTCGTCTAAGAGGGCGTTKAGCACACTTCGAACGGTCCGAATTTGCCTCTCCCAAATACCACCCATATGACTGGACGATGGAGAGTTCATCTTGAATTCGAACCAGTCACAGTTATGGCTCTTCAAAAAGTTTCCTACTTTGGCCTTGTCCAGGTGCTGTACTAGGGTGCTGAGCTCATTCTTCGATCCGACAAAATTCGTTCCCCTGTCGCACCTCAACTGACGGATTGGTCCTCGTCTCGATAAAAAGCGTCGTAGGGCATGGATGAAAGACGACGTATCTAGGGTGTTGGCCAGCTCTAGGTGGATTGCGCGACATGCCATGCATGTAAACAGAACACCATATCTCTTGAGTTCTTTCCGGCCTTCTTTAATGGTCCATGGACCAAAGTAGTCCACTGCAGAGTAAGAGAAAGGAGGTGCTCTTTCGAGTCTGTCTGCTGGTAGGTCCGCCATTTTTTGCTTTTGAGCCGTCCCTCGAAGTCTCCTGCATTTTACACAATTCATAATAAAACTCGAAACGGCTGACGAGCCGCCAATTACCCAGAAGCCATTGGAACGAACAGCATTCAAGGTAATTCCTCTTCCTTGATGACTCGCTTGCTGGTGAAAGTGTCGTACGATAAGCTCCGTGATATGGCCCTTTCTCGGCAGGATAACGGGGTGTTTGCTGCCGAAAGACATCTGCGAACGTCTTATTCGCCCTCCCACTCTTAATAATCCATTGTGGTCTTTAAAAGGATCGAGGCGGAACAGAGGGTTRGTTCTCTTCAGCGAGGATCCGTGAGGGAAGGCGGCTTGCTGAACCAATTTCAGTATTCGAGTTTCTGCTGTAACAAGTTCCTCGACTGTGAGCTGTTTGTCATCCGCGATCGGTGAGCGTTGTAGCAGTTTCTTCTTAAATCTAAGGCATAGAGCAATTACTCTTTTTGCTTTGGTCCATTCTGATATTCTTTCAAGATCCTCAAGTATGGACCTTCCCGGTATTTCTGAGCTCTTTGTCGACATGCATTTCGACTTCTTAACTTCAGGATCGTCTGGAGATGTTGTTCTATCAATGATTTGTGGAGGTGGAATASTCGTGTTCCATAAGAATTTGGGACCAGTTAACCAGTCGCTCGTAGATAGATCTTGACCCACCAGTCCTCTTGAAGCAATGTCTGCTGGGTTATCCTTGGTGGGAATGTACCTMCATTGTTGTGGATTGCTAACGTTTCTTATTTCTTGGACACGATTGGCAACGAATATGTGGAAACGACGGACATCGTTGGAGATATATCCCAGCACGACTTGACTGTCTGTCCAGAACGTYTCTGATGTAATGGGAAYACTTCGTAATTCTCTTCTCACTGTTGTGCTKATCTTTGCGGACACTAACGCTGCTGTAAGTTMTAGTCGRGGTACTGTAATTGGCTTTAKGGGTGTRACACGAGACTTTCCCATTACGAAAGAGCAATGTACCTTGCCTTCGTTGTCGATTTGTCTAAGGTAGGTGCACTGTCCATACCCCTTGGTACTTGCGTCCGAGAAATGGTGGAGTTCGTTGGTCGAGACTGTACTAAATTCAATTGGCTTGTAACATCTTGGAATACTGATCGTGCTTAAGCTACAKATGTCATATCTCCACTTCTMCCATTGCGGTTTAATGTCTTCTGGAATTGGATCGTCCCAGTCTGCTTTGCTTCTGCACAATTCTTGAAGTATTTGCTTCCCAATCAGAACGAGTGGAGCGGCGAAACCCAAAGGGTCATACAGTGAGCTAACGGTTGACAGGATACCACGCCGAGTCAGTGGTTTATCTTGAAATGCTATCTTGAATTGAAAGTGATCCAATTCTATACACCATTGGATACCAAGAGCTCGCTCCATTGGTAACTTGTTATGATTGAAGTCGAGGTCTTTGAGCTCTTTAGCTCGGTCTTCATTCGGGATACATTCAATTATAGCTCTAGAATTGGACGTGAATTTGTGTAACCTAAGACCTCCTTTACTACACATCTCCACACTATCGTGAATGAGTTGGATGGCCTCTGCTTCTGTGGACAGGGACTTTAAACCGTCATCGACGTAAAAATCATTGTTAATGAAGTCCGCGGCTGCTTGTCCAAGTTGAGGTTCATAGTCTCTAGCAGTCTTCTTTAGTCCRAAGTTCGAACATCCTGGGGAGGACGCTGCTCCAAATAGGTGAACTGTCATCCTGTACTCGCGCGGTTCTTTGCTTAAGTCTCCCCCTTCCCACCAGAGAAACCTCAAAAGATCTCTATACGCTGTGTGAACTCGGAACTGATGAAACATCGCTTCAATGTCACACATAAATGCGAACTTTTCCAGACGGAAACGCATAAGTACWCCAATCAAGTTATTGGTCAGGTCTGGTCCAGGTAGAAGATTGTTATTGAGTGATTCCCCATTGTATTTGGCGCTGCAATCATACACTACGCGTAGTTTGTCGGGTTTCTTGGGGTGGAATACACCATGGTGCGGTATGTACCAGGTTCTTCCTTCGACGGTGTCAAGTGAGTCTACGGGCACCTTCTCCGCGTAACCCTTATCGATGACATCTTGCATGGCTGCATTGTACTTGCTGTGATACTCTTTGTCTTTTATAAACCGTTGTCTTAATTTGTTTAAACGTTGTAAAGCGAGATGCTTGTTATTCGGTAGTATTAAGTTTTCGTCTCTTAGTGGGAGAGGCATTTCATAGTGTCCGTCGGGTAATTGACGTACTGAGTTCTCCATTATCTCGAGAAATCNGGCGAGCCATCAGTTTGTCTTGGATCTTTTTTAAGTGATTCCACTTTCTTGCTGAGTCTGGGCAGGGGATACTATTCCTTTGAGCTGGAATCTTCTCACGAGAGAATGTTACTGGTAGATCGATCTTGACCTTGCGTTCGATGTCTTGTACCTTTAGACCGGTGATCTTTTTGCAGAGGACTATCTCGTTTTCACCATGCATGGTCGACAATGACAAATACGTGCTTGGTCCAGTTACTCCCAGTTTGGCCAACAATTCGTCGTTAACGAAGGTAGTGTCTGACTGGTCGTCTAACACTGCGTAGACGAGGTATGATAAGTTTGGGTTGCTTCTGTGGTGTACCCAGACGGGCACGATGAGAGCTAAAACTTCATCTTCAGCTCTTGTGCAGTGCGATGTAGCAARTTTGGTATCAACTTTATTTGCTGCTCTCTGTTCGGCACGTTGGACGTAATCTTGGTGAAGTGATGTAGGGTGTGAGCGTTTGCATTCGTTGCAACTCTTGCGTTCCAAGCAATTTGCTGAGGTGTGTCCTGACTTCAAACAGCCAAAACAGAGTTTATTCTGGAAGGCGAACCTTTTTCTTTCCAGAATAGTTTTCTTTGTGAATTCTTCGCAGGTATCTAGTGGATGATTCCTTTCACAGAGGGGGCAGGTTTCCTTTACTTCCAGCTSCTTTGGTGATGTAAAATGCTTTCTCTCTGCAGGTTTTGTTGCTTGAGGTTCTTTTGGGCGGATGTTTTTTGATGCTGCGTGTGTTGTTAGAGCTCTTGATTTTCTATCTTCAACAACCGTTCTCTTYTGTTCTGGCGCCTTGGTGAAGATTGGGTCGCATGCGATATCAGTTTCCTTTACTAGGAACTTAACAAACTCAGCGAAAGGAGGGAAATTTCYAATTGTGGACTTGTAATCGTAGACTTGGCGACTCCATCTATTTATGATCCAAGATGGTAGTTTAGTAATAATTCTTTGATTTTCATGATCATCGTTCAAGACATGTAGAGACTGTATTTTGGTCATCGCTTTCTCACAATGGGTMAGAAAGTCAGCAAATTTCCTGAGACCTTTGGTATCAGAGGAAGAGATCTTTGGCCATGCATCTAGTCTTTGACGGAAGGCTGAAGCTACTRTGAATGGGTCTCCAAATCGTTTACAAAGCATTTCCTTGGCTTCCTCGTACGATTCCTCTCCATTTGTGAATATAAAGCCATCGACTGCCTCAAGTGCTTCTTTAGCCAAGTACTTTCGCAGGTAATGCAATCTTTCGGAGGGTCTAGACACACGACTTTCAATTAAACTTTCAAAGGCTTGTAGCCAAGAAGGAAAATGAAGGAGATTTCCTGTGAAAACGCCTGGTTCTGGCAGTGGTAGTCGAGCTTGACTTTGACCTTCGGCCAGTAATCTAACGACATTTAGTAGCTGTGATGTAGTGTCTCCCTGACTTGATGGCAGATTTCTATAGCTTGACTGTGAAGCTGCTGCGTTGTAGGCTGGCTGTGAAGCTGCTACGTGGTAGGCTCGTTGTGAAGCTGCTACGTGGTAGGCTGGCTGTGAAGCTGATGCGTCGTAGGCTGGCTGTGAAGCTGCTGCGTTGTAGGCTGGCTGTGAAGCTGCTACATGGTAGGCTCGTTGTGAAGCTGCTACGTGGTAGGCTGGCTGTGAAGCTGCTACGTGGTAGGCTGGCTGTGAAGCTGATGCGTTGTAGGCTGGCCGTGAAGCTGCTGCGTTGTAGGCTGGCTGCGAAGCTGCTACATGGTAGGCTGGCAGTGAAGCTGCTGCGTTGTAGGCTGGCTGTGAAGCTGCTGCGTTGTAGGCTGGCTGTGAAGCTGCTGCGTTGTTGGCTGGCTGTGAAGCTGCTGCGTTGTAGGCTGGCTGTGAAGCCGCTACGTTGTGGATAGGCCGTGAAGCTGCTGCGTTGTAGGCTGGCTGTGAAGCCGCTACGTTATGGATTTGCTGCGAAGTTGCTAAGTTGTGGGTTGGCTGTGGAGCCGTTACGTTGTGGATTTGCTGCGAAGCCGCTACGTTGTGGAGATTAAACGTCGCTGCAATCTTGTGAGATGATTGCCGTCTGAAAGCTTGTTTCGTCACGTGGTATGGGTCGTGGATATCTAGCGGCGTAGATTGACGATTGGCTGAGGAGCCGTTACGTTATGGATTTGCTGCGAAGTTGCTAAGTTGTGGGTTGGCTGTGGAGCCGTTACGTTGTGGATTTGCTGCGAAGCCGCTACGTTGTGGAGATTAAACGTCGCTGCAATCTTGTGAGATGATTGCCGTCTGAAAGCTTGTTTCGTCACGTGGTATGGGTCGTGGATATCTAGCGGCGTAGATTGACTCTGAACATCTGCTGGTCTGGGTGGACTGTAAGTATCAGTGCATTCGGGCTCACTGTTTACATCTGACGGTACGGGACTGGAAACAATAGTGCTTCTAAGTTGGTCCCCGAGATAGTTGTGCAATAATTCGTTGGTAATATCATTAGACGGCAATCCCTTGGGAATTTTATGTTGTTGATGTTGGAATTCATCGTAGTAGACTTTCGAAGATCCCTTGGGAGTTTCATACTGCTGTCGTTGGAATTCATTATAGTTAAGTTCTAATACATTAGGAGATTTGAATTCGTTTGAGAAAACCCTTAAAGGTCCCTTGGGAATTTCGTTTTCCGTCCCCAACATTAAGGTATCGCGCAATTTGTGTTCAATGTTCCTTAATTTACTCTGACTGAGGCACGATGATCTACGTGAAACATGACTTCTAGTGTCGTATTCTAGTTCATCAATTTTCTCTTTCAAACGTATAAATAACAATGAATTCTCTCTTGAGAAATTGTCGACTGTATTTGATAATTCRTCCTTTTCGGACTCAGAGTTAAGCACTTTTTCCAAATTGTCCTGAGCAAGGTATAGGCATTCCATTCTACRTTCGAGTTTACTGCCTTCACTTCTTAGTRTCAATACATTACTTTCGGTAACCAATTTGCCTTCGATGACATTAAATTGAGACCTCCATTTCCTTTTTGCCGATCGAAAGGCGTCTCTTAAGCAGTCGACATGATACTGATTACCTTTGGACGTGCGTTTACGTGTTCTTCTATGATCGTCATCGTCATCTAGTTCCATGACTTTATGATTTACTGTTACGGCTAACCTTCAGATTTTTGTTTACTGACATACATGATGACGTAAATCTTACAACGTAGAAAGAAGAAACGAGAAATTACAATAGAGTATATGATAAATTACAAAATACGATAGAAAACGAAAGCGATTACAAAACGATTACAAAGTTCTTACCATAGTGATGGTCTGAAGGATCAGCGATGACGATAAACGCGGTAATAACGAAATTTACATAAGTAGAAATATATAACCGAATAAAAAACAATAGACTACGCACGAATGACTTGTGAACAATTAAACGTCTAAAAACAACAAACGATAAGTAACGAAGGTGTTGGAGCTACATGGCTCTCCTAAATTTATCTAAAGAAATTTATCAATTAAAATTAATGTCAATTAAATATGGCTCTCCKTGGCTCTCCATACTTTCACTATGTATGTGACTGTTCTTCGGTCTTTAAAAGAAGTACGAGCTTGTGTACTGGTCGTTCTAGGACTGACTGATCTCCGGTGACAATTTTAACCCTTCTCACAAGACCGTCTTCATCGGTAATCACGTTACAGACCCTGACCATCTTCCATAGGTTTCGTGGGGCATCGTCAGCCTTGAGTATAGCTATATCACCGACCTTCAGGTTTCGTCTAGGGATGTTCCATTTTGTGCGTTCTTGTAGGGTCTGCATGTACTCTTTTTTCCACCGACGCCAGAACTCGTTAACTAAAAACTGCACGCGTCTCCATCTCTTAGTAGCATAGAGATCTGACCGTTGAAACTCGCCTGGAGGTGGTAGAAGTACTTCCGTCTTCAGAGTCAGTAGATGATTTGGCGTAAGAGGTAAGCAATCTGGAGTGTTTAGGTTCTGTACAGTTAACGGGCGACTATTAACGATGGCTTCGGCTTCACAAAGTAGGGTGCGCAACGCTTCGTCATTCAGCTGGTGACCAGACTCGTCTAAGAGGGCGTTTAGCACACTTCGAACGGTCCGAATTTGCCTCTCCCAAATACCACCCATATGACTGGACGATGGAGAGTTCATCTTGAATTCGAACCAGTCACAGTTATGGCTCTTCAAAAAGTTTCCTACTTTGGCCTTGTCCAGGTGCTGTACTAGGGTGCTGAGCTCATTCTTCGATCCGACAAAATTCGTTCCCCTGTCGCACCTCAACTGACGGATTGGTCCTCGTCTCGATAAAAAGCGTCGTAGGGCATGGATGAAAGACGACGTATCTAGGGTGTTGGCCAGCTCTAGGTGGATTGCGCGACATGCCATGCATGTAAACAGAACACCATATCTCTTGAGTTCTTTCCGGCCTTCTTTAATGGTCCATGGACCAAAGTAGTCCACTGCAGAGTAAGAGAAAGGAGGTGCTCTTTCGAGTCTGTCTGCTGGTAGGTCCGCCATTTTT